CCCCCCCCCCCCCCCACTTTCCGAACCTGATCCACCCAAACAGCCGCGCAATTCCTTACCTAAATCGGTACTGGCCCGGAAGCGGGAAATTGGTTGTGATAGATTGCAGGGTGACCGGTGGTTGAACCAGGAACAAGTTTGGTTCATCTACAGTGTCATGATCTTCGGGCACGATGTAGAATATTCTAACCATTTTTTATGTACAACAGAGGCCCAAATGTCGTCCAAAGTCGGGAACGGGGGAATCTGAACGGCGTAGAGTACGCTGAGACTCTTCTGAGTGGGTAAGCAAGCCGTGAACGGCGCAGAGTACCAAGTCGGGTGAGTGGGAGTTGGTGCTGCAGGCGGTGCCGTTGAACCTTGGTTGTGGATGGTGTGCTGGGCATGTGCGTTCGCAAGGTGTATGCCAGGTGCGTTGGACTCCGGCTTTTGTGCATCTAAGATCAACTGGTTGGAAGTGAACATTGTAGCGGTTGGCAAGGGCTTGGCTGAGTCGTGTAGGTACCAAACTGGCGTTGGTCGCAGCGACAGCGGTGGCGTATTCGAGCACTGTAAACTCGACCGGGTTCGAACCGAACTTGCCCCAACCCGTCTGACCACGACGCCAACTTACGTCGCTAATAGTGCGCGCTTCTAACGAACGAATCATGTAATGGTTCACCCGTAAGGCCGCCGGCGAGATTATTAACGGATACTTCACACGATGTGCACAGCCATGTACCCAAGCCACCTCACAAAACCAACTTGGCACATTACGCTCCGCCAACAAACGCACCTCCTCCTTCCGCCACCCGAATCGAGACCACAGTGGAACTGCAGACAACCACGCACCACCCAGACGGCCTAGAGCACCCCCCGCATATGCGCGGTAGGATAAATTGTCCGGCAACACACTCCACCAATAACCCGCCTTCTCATTCTTCTCGCCCGCCGCCAGTGACCCGTCCTCCCAGACAATCCGGTCCAGTGCCATGCGCTCCTTATTGGCCAAGTTGAACCGGTTCAAGTTCATCGGCGCTCGCCGCGCCACTGAAGGGAAAGGCACATTCGCCATCACCACCTGCATAGCCTCCGACTCTTTTGGCTCGTCTTTTCCCTTTGCGCCGTTTACGAGCTGTGAGAACGGGTACAGCGGGGACGGCGGTAGTTCTCTGAAGCCTTTGGGTGGCTGGTGGCGGCGGCCGGTCCACAGAATGGTTTTGCCCATGGTGGTGAGTCGGGAACTCAAGGCCGATGGGTAACAGCTAACAGGGAATTTGCGGTCGAGCGTCGTGCCTGCGAAACGGCGCATGCCCGGCAGGTTCCGGGTTCGAATCACGGCGAAGCCCTTCGTGTTGTTGAACACCTCTAGCAGTGGCCGACAGTCGGGCCGCATGCGGCTCTGTATCTCCAAAATCTCCGCAGGACTCGTGCCGAAACGAGAATTCGGCACTGTACGTTGACAGGTGTTGGACACCAGTGGCAACTCAGACACATGATGGCGTGTCGCGTTCGACAGCAACTCAGAGAAGGCCTCATAAGAAGGACGGTGACACTTCCCCTGCAAGTATTCGGTCAGATCGCGAATGGCTTTCCCAGGACCTTGGTTGGAGTCCGACTTCTTGCTGGGTTGCTCGGTTATGGGTTGCTCGGTTATGGGTTGCTCGGTTATGGGTTGCTCGGTTATGGGTTGCTCGGTTATGGGTTGCTCGGCTGTGGGGAGGTTCGGTACTACCTTGGTGTTGGACGCGAAGAACTCGATATTTCCGGTGAGTAGATTGCGAGCTACTTTGAAGGCCGGACTGAAAGTGTGTTCCAGACCACCCAAGCCGAAGTTGAGTGTTGGAATGTATAGTCCGCTAAGACTGGAGAGCAAATAGAGTTCGGATACCGCCTTCTCTTGTTCCTGAACAGCGGCGAGAAATTCGTTCTCGGTGTTGTTGTTTTTTTCTTCGCGAGTTTTGACCCGCCGATAATGAGTGCCGCCTACGTAAAAGTTCCTGAGATACTGTCTGAGGGTCACATTGGCGATGTCAACATAGAGGAACTCGTCCACATCAATGTGTGCGAACCATTCCGTTCGTGTGCGGAATTTGCGCCAGCAATGTTGAACGAGTGTTTGTTGGTTAAGTCTATGCATGTATACAGAATTTGGTGAGTAATCACGTAGCCGAAGTCTTAGGATGTCCGCGGTACTGTCAAAGGCCAGACCACCTGACGTTTTGACTTCAAGAAAGTCCCCATGCTTCAATTCGTTTCGATAATAGTCTTCGATCAAGTGATATTCATTCTTTATCCCCATAATATCGACCCAAGGTATATCGTCGATGTATAACACCATCTTATCAAAACCTTGTAGTCTGTGGTATTCCAACCACTCCAGTAAATATGGAATTTCAGACCACGTTACTTTCGCACACCCAACCAAGAAATACGAACTGCTACCTTCAACATTCCGACCACCGATCGCTTGACCACTTACCACCTCAACCTCGTCACTAAATGGGTTACTGATATCGGGTAATGAACTTTTAGTTTGCCACTGCCTTTCCGTAAGCCCTGCCGCTTCCGACCAAACATCCGTGGACACCATCTGGTGATCACGCGACTCCATCTGGTGATCACGCGACCCCATCTGGTGATCACGCAACCCCATCTGGTGATCACGCGACCTGCCGTAGCGACCTAAGATATCATTTTCATCAAAGTATTCACTGTTTTCCGTTATTCGCGATGGTCGACTATAAACGACTACAATAGCAGTCAACATTAACCCTAGAAAGATCAACCAACAGGGACGTAAGCATCGACGCTGGAAGTACAAACGATATATCTCCAGTCGATTCAGCATTGTCCCTTGTCCTAGGTCTCGACCGCGGAGTCCTCGTCTGCGCAACCGCCTAACCTAACTAACTGACTACCTAACTGTCGGCGGCTTAACTGTCGACGGCTTAACTCTCGGCGGCTGTGTGGTCCGATCAGCGACGGTACTGAAAATTTGGCCTGGTTCGATCCCGGGTTCGAGTCCTCCCCCCGTGTAGTTTGCCCCATCGAACCACTTTGCCCCTGCGAAGTGATCCCAGTGACACGATTTTCATTATACCGTGATGGAGGGCCAGATTCTCCGGCATATGGTTCGTCTATAAAAAATACAACCTGGTTCCAACTTAGTGGTGCACGTGCACTATTGCGACCACAAGACAGGCCAGCATGAGAGAGCCGTCTTAGCTCTCCTTCTACCACACGTATGATCGACGTGTGTTCAACCTGGATTTATCAAGACATGAGCAGCACTGACATCGGGTGTTGCAGTCGGGCCGGATTCATACTTCCTGCCGCTGTAGCTTGCCATCTAACCGGCGTGTGGCTTGCCCCCGAGGAAGTCGTCCATGCCGCCTTGTGTATTGTTCGCTTCAGTTTTAGTTGCTTCAGGGACCGGGAGTTGATCGTTGGCGGAATCGTCTACGACGACAGGTTCGCCGAGCCACTTGATACGGACGCCGTCGAGGAACTTGCCTTCGCGGTATTCTCCGCGTCTTGCGTAGTATTTTCCGATGCCGTTTTCGAGACCGTTCTTCCATTCTCCGTCATACTTGCGCCCATCCGGCCAGATCTGTACTCCTTTTCCGTTGCTCTTTCCGTCTTTATAGTCACCAGTATATACACGTCCATCGGGCCAGGTAAGTTGTCCCTTGCCGCATTGTACGGACTTCTGCCACTGGCCTTCGTAGCGACGTCCATCCGGCCAGGTGTAGACGCCTTGGCCTTCGATCTCGCCGTTGCAAAAATCGCCCTCGTATACGTCGCCATTAGGTGCCTTCAAGTGACCTCGGCCGTGCTGTCGGCCCTTCTTATAATCACCAATGTACTCCATGCCATTTGCCTGCACCTCCCGGCCGCGCCCCTCACGCTTGTCATCAACGAATGGGCCGTAGTAGCGTGACCCATCCGCAAATGTGTAAACACCGTAACCGTTCGCGCGCCCTTCCTTGAAACTACCCTCCAATCTCGACCCATCCTTGTTAGTGTAAATACCTTGTCCCTCTGGCTTCCCATCAGCAAACTCACCCAAGTACGTTGACCCGTCAGGATAAGTCAGTAAACCCACACCATGTTGCTTACCAGCCTGCCAGTCACCGCGATACTTGATACCTCGCGGCATATCGACTTCCTTGATGGACTCGTCGATGTCGAAGCTCAACACCACCGGCGGGAACTCTCTAGACGTTGGGTCCGCCGGCTCGGGCGAGGTCTCAGTCTTGTCACTGTCGGCCGAAACTCTGTCTGCTATCACCTCTGATGCCGGTGTAGCCGGTTCAACAGAAGCCATCGCCTGCTTAGTCACCTCCACTGCTGCCGTAGCCGGGGTCTCAGCCTCATCTGCAGCCGCAATCTGACTCGTATGAGGCGTCTTGATCTCATGCACAGTGGCAGCTTTAGAACCAGAACAGCCCATAATAAATTTCAGTCGTCCAAAAAAATATATATTGAGATGGATACACAAGACCTCACCGCAGCTCTGAAACAGCTCATCCTTGGACCCAATGCCCAAGACCATTGGCTACCCGATGACGACGCCAGAAGAAGGCAACCCGCTAACAGATCGGACCGGCAACCGTCAGCCGCCTACAACGCCAACCTTCTCGCCTACTCAGGCCACAACACGACTGCCAGGCATGCCACAGCTAGGTCGCAGGCCCATCTTCTACCTATCCATACCAACGGAGTCCAGGGCAACGGAGTGAACGGTATCCAGGGCAATGGTAACCACGGCAATGGCATACACGCGAATGGAGTGCATGGTAGTGGAGTGCAGCCACGCCCTGACGGCCCAGGTCTGGGTGCACGCCCTAGGAGTCAGCAGCAGTCGTCACCTGGTCAACAACTCGGCCGCCGCCAGCCAGGTCAGCAGGTTGCTGGTCTGCACCAGACTGGTTTACGCCAACAAGGTATCTTGCAGCACTCGGGAGGGCTGCAGTCTGCGGTTCCGCCAACTGATCATTTCCAGCAGGGACAGTCAAAACACTACCAGGCAGGAAGTCAGGTGCTATCGGGTTTGGGAGCGTCGGTGATGACTGCGGACGCTTTGGTGGCACGTTCTTTGTTAGCCGCGAAACCAAGTCCGTTGGCTTTACCGCGCGCCCGCGGCGTCGACAGTGAACTCGACTGGGACGAGGAGTTGCCAGACACGCACTGGCCCGTTGACGACGAAACACTTTTCTACGCCAAGCACGTTGCCACCACGCGGACTAATTCCACTTCCGGTGGCCACCGAAAGTTCTTCGACCTCAATATTTCGCTCCCGGTGGTGCTTCCTGGCTCCGAAATCCGAGTGCTCAACGCCGAGGGAGAGAATTACTACCACAAACCCGGAGACGCCGCGGCCAACGTTCTCTTCTGCTGTCACGAGTCCACCCAGCAAGAGGACGAAATATCCTTCGACCCTGACACTGTCGAAACTTTCACCGTGGTCGAGCCATTAACGGCCCAGATCGCACACGATACCGCCTACAAAACAACGGCCGACACTACTGACCCGGTAGCCTCGATCTCAGCCTCGATCTCAACCTCGGCGCCTAGAGTTTGCGATGTGTGGTCGTCGTTCTTGAGGATCCACGTTGGCACGGTACACAACTGCCATGCGGATCTGATTCAGGAAATCACGGAGTTCTTTTTGCAGACGTTGAAATCTGTCGAATTTCTGCGACCGATCGAGATCCAGTGTGCTGGAGTATTTCAGGTTAAAAACCGGTATGAGACTCGAGCGAAATTTGTAGCGACAGAAGACCTAGCACAGTTCCGTGTGATCCGTCGTGCGTTGAAGAAGTTCGTGCTCACGTTGCGTGAGCGTTTTTCTGTTCATCATCAGGGACCAGTGTTCGATGCTACGATTTCACCTGTGTGTAAGACCGGGGCGTCTTTGCCAATTGAGATCCGACGCTACTCAATTCTCGCACCGGATGTGGCTGCACAGGTCAAGGGTAAACAGACACTCGCTATCGCCGACGAAGAAATACCACTCACCGCCAACTGTTACATCAACGAAGTACGTCTGGAAATGACACACGCGCGCGCTGTAGACCCCAGGTGGACAGACGCTTGGGTCCTATGCAGACGCATGCCCATGGGACCCGGACTCACCCCAGGACGCCATGTGTTCGCGCCCGGTCACACACCACCTCGAGTGCTCTACCAGTTTAAACATCCCAAGGCCAAGCTCCTCAAGTCACGCTTCGGACCTCTCTACATGCTCACAGAGTCCGCTTTGAACTTGACCAAAAAACAGCAAGTCGAACCCACTCGCACCGACCGGTACGAAGCCGACCGCCACGATGCCAACGGCCAAGACGTCGCCCCGGGCGCCAACTCGGCGGCCGCAGCCCCTGGCGCCAACTTGGCGGGAGCACCCCTTGGCGCCAACTTGGCAAAAGCAGCCCTTGGCGCCAACTTGGCGGGAGCAGCCCCTGACGCCAACCTGGCGGCCGCAGCCCCTGGCGCCATCTTAGCGGCCACTACTATAAAGCATGAAGATTTCAGCCCGGTCAAAACAGATTTTGGGGGCATGATGGGCACGGAGTCGGCCACACTGGAACAAGAGAACAACTCCAACCTGCGAGCTGAAGCAGTTCCGTTCTTCCCCATTACGGCGCTGAACCAAGTCTTACAATCATTCCAAGCAGAGACCTCGTCCAACACCACTTGGGACAGGCTCGTGGAGTCTGCGCTCAACCATGAGAACTCGCAGCAACAAACTAAGGGGCTTGAACTGCTGCGCGCACTAAAGAACGGCTCGTTCAAAAACCAATCGGGGACCTACAGACGACCTTTTTAGAATCTCTCGAAAACCATCCGGAGAGAACTTCACATCAAACCGCCGCCACTTTTGAAGCAACGCACGACGTTGCTCAACGTGGCCAACTGCGTGCGGGCGCATGCAAGCACCTACCTGCTTCTTATATTTAAATCAACGTAACGTTTGCATGAGGAAAAAGAGTTCGTACTGAAGAAACAGGCTGGAACGTCCTGTTGGCCGCTTCCAAGGTCGTCTACACAATGTTGGTTTGCGAAGCCGTCTACACAACCGTAATGGAGATATTCATCACGGGTTTGTCACACTTTCCGCACTTATCCAAAAGTGTGACCGGACCGTCGAAGGAGTAGCCGGCTGTTGAAGAGATCACGCAGGCGCCACTAGCGACCGATGGTCTTTCCGCGCCCTGCACGTGGAACACATCGAACTGTAGTGCCGATCCAGCAAGCGGGAATGTGAACGTCTCCATCACGTCCGATGACAAACCCGTTCTTAGCGGGCTCTTGACTGTACTGAGCCGCGAGTCCGTGCCGTAGCGGATTTGCACTTGGCCGGCTTCAGGCCCCATGGGCAACCCCTCGATCGAGTTGATGGTAATGTTTACGTTCAGCTTCTTGCCCATGATACGAAAATGTACTTCTGCTGTAGACTTCTGTATTTTCGCCGAACGAATTTCCGCCGTCTCCCCCACCCCGTCTCCCGCCAATAGCAGTCAACCAAATCACAAACCGCGATTGATGGGGTTATGATGGATATCGAACACGTGTCCGAACGGAATCAAGAGGCTGGCGGTGAAGAGGCGGCCGGTGGCGCCGCGCCTGGAGGTGCCAGGAAGACATTGTTATTAAGCCCTGGCGGTGCGGACAGGGGCACTAGTTCCGGTGGAGACGCGTTTGGTAAGACCCCGGGTGGCGTGGACTCTCGCTGCCTAGACCTGCCTTGGTCGGTGTTGAGAGTGAAGCGATTAGACCCGCGAGGCTGGGAGTCGTGTTGGCTTGAACCGAAAGGTCTGAGACTGTTTCTGATAGTTTCTTCCTGCCCCACGAGATGTTGATCGATGACTATGTCGCTTTCGGAACTGAGTCCAGAGTCTAAACTGCTGGGGTCGAAGGCCCGATCTGGGTCCGTATCTGCACGTTGCAGCGGCCAGACGGACGCCTCTCGCGTTCCGGATCGTCGTTGTCGGTAGCACCACCAGAGCGCGAGCAAGAGCAGTAAGAGCAGCAGGAGGGCGACCAGACCCGCGACCCACCAGGCCCAGGCCTTGCTGCGGCCCCCATCGCTCTTATTCGTGGCACAAAGAGTGTCCAAACTCGCCCAGGTCTCTGCGGCTGCATCCCGACCTGCCCAAATGGCGGGGTCGCGGAAAACGCAACGGCCTGCGCCACAGAGGTCACATTCACTCCGTAACGCGTCGTTCGTCGGACAGCGTGCAGTGTACTCATCCGAGTCGCACTCGCCCGCCGGCAATTCCGCGATTGGCGTGGTCACCAACCGCTCGAACTCGGTCTGGTTGAAAATGCGGCACGCCGTGCCATTGTGCAGGAAGTAGCCCTTCCCTCCGAATTGCTCCATCATACAATCGTACACTGTCACGTTCGTCTTTAACGTACCCAACACTGAGTTCATCCCCCCCACCACGTAGTGACGGTACACTGTGTCCCGGCCGTCATATCTACAGTCACCCGCCGTATCACTCTCCGCCACAGACGTCTCAGTCCCACTGGGTGTTTGCACACATTCATTGTAACATTGCGTGCTAGCATCAACGCTGGGTCGTTGCACAAGTCCGACAAAATCGCAGCCAGCGCTTGCCGCGTAGCATGCGTCTAAACTGGCCCAAGTCTCGAGCGCGCTGTCGCGCCCGGTCCAGAGCGAAGGGTCGGTCCATACGCAGCGTTCGACGCCGTCGCCACAAAAGTCGCAGTCGTCCGCGTTCGCGCAAAATTTTTGGTACTCATCCAAGTCGCACTCGCCGGCCTGCAGCTGCGCCAACGGCGTCCGCTGCAGGTACAACAGGTTCACGCCCGATAGGTACTTGCACTCACCCGTGGTCGCTCTGAAGCTCCAAAAACCCTTGACCTCTGAGTCGCGATATGAGAACAGTAGACAATCTAGCAATGACGTCGCCGGTGCCGTCTTCATCAATGACGACTGCATCCCACCAAACACTTTGTGCCGGTACACGTCCCTCGTCTCCGCCGCCGTCACGTACGCCTCCGCCGCCTGTGTCAACTCGCTATCGGTTTCGACTTTCGTCGTCTCTAAGACGGTCTCTGCAGCCCGTCTCGGGGCACCTTTCTCCGCCGAGCGTGCCTCCGCCTTGGTCTCCGCCTTGGTCTCCGCCTTGGTGTCTGCGTCTTGGCGCCCGTCGAAGACGCAGCGCGGGTCGGTTGGTCCCACGCCGCGAGTGCAGTCGCGAAGACAACTTTCTAATGTAACTTGGTCGGAGTCTCGCGTGACCCCGACGAAGGCGCACTGTGGAAGATTGCAGGCGGAGCCGCAGTTGCAGCGGGTCTGCATTTCGGTTCTGATGTTTCGTAACGGACTGCCACTAACGATTTGTGGGTCGGTCCAGACGCAGAACGCAACGGTTTGTCCGCAGGTGGCGTCGGGCAAGTACGTTGCGGTGTCACACTCACCGGGGTTCAGAGCCGCCACGGGTGTGGTCGTGAGTCGCTCCCATGCCTTCTGGCTCAGGGAAAGACACTCGCCGCCCGTCCACTGGAAGACGAAATGTTCCGTCGAAACATGCTGTCGAACACACTCCCACGCTGTCGTCGCCGGTACCTTCTCAACCAAAACACTCCCGGGGCCGCCAAACACCAAGTTCGTGAAGGTCTGTGTGCGCGCGTCGTTCAGACACGCGTGTGTGCTCACCTCATTACGTGCACATGACGCGTGACACTCATCCAGCGCTGACACAGTGCCCTCCTCTCCAGCTTCGGGGTCCAACCCAGTCCAGTTGCAGGCGTATACACACTCCGCACACGACGATAGCAGGCGCTCCCACACCTCCAAACTGCCCGTTCCTGCACGCACTGCACTCCCGGACACGTCGTCGCCGCCGCCGGCCCACATGCAACGGTGAACTCGACTCCAACTTCCACCACACGTCGCACAAACCTCCAATACCGGACAACTCGCGCGGAAAGCAGATCCGTCACACTCACCCGCCGCCAACTCCTCGTACGGCGTCGTCAACAACTTCTCCAAGTCCGTCTCCGCCAAACCGTAACACACTCCCCCGACCTCTCCGGTCTCCTCTGTGACCTCCTCTGCCGGAGGGACGTAGAAACCGAGGTACGCCGCCGGGTTCGCGAAACACTCCCACTGACTCTGCGTCGCGTTAAAGCGCTGCAACAAACTCGATTGCGCACCGCCGACCCAAAGCGACCGATACGCACCCACTTCGCGACCGTCGTAATGGCAGCCTGTCACACTCGTCACCGGCCGCTCGGCCACGCACTCCTCATGACACTTCTGCAGGTTTCCCGCCATCTTGCTCGCGCCGGTACTTCCCGTACTACTTGGCGTACTCTTTTCCGCAGTACTTGCAGCCTCATCGCTTGCGAAGACGTCGACGGCAGCCCAGTCGCAGAGGGCTGGTGTGTCTGCGGCACAGAGGTCGGCGACTGCCGGCCACGCCGCGGCGCCTGTCCAGACGTCTGCGTTCGGCCAGAGGCAGCGACGGCCGGCAGCGGCGCAGGTCGTGTGGAGTGCGTCGTCTGCGGCACAGGCGGCGCCGTCGTCGCCGCAGGTTTCGAGGAAGGCCGCGCGATCGCACAGGGCGTTTGTGAAGGCCACAGGCGTGCGCGTCAAATGTTCGAGCGCATGTGCGTCGAATGTGCTACACACACTTCTCGCGACGTCGAAGCTCGCGACCGCTACTTCCGCGTCCAGCAACCTCGAGAAACACTCTCCCGCGTCCGCCACCGTGTGCGTCCGTCCGGCACCCCCAAATGTCACTGCCCGATACGTCCCTGCCTGGCGCCCGTCTAACACACACTCTTCACTCCCAAAGGCCGCGCGTTCGAGACACGCTGTGCGACATTTCTCCAATTTTGTGCGGAACGCGTCCACGTCCGCAAACCCGCCGCTCAGGGCAGCCGTGGTCGAGACGTAGCTGCAGTCCAACTCGATCTCGCAGAATCCACGCAACCAATCCAACAGGAACCGAGGCCCCGCCGAGAACGCCATTCCCGGCCCGGCCTGGGCGTCCGTTTCGGGTGCCGCTTGGGCGGTACCGAGGCAGCGGTCGACGCCGTCAAGACAGACGTCCTCCTCCCCCTCCTTCAGTCCCTCTTTGTCGCACTCGCCGGTGTCCAGATAGCTGCGTGGCGTACCAAGCAGGCGACGGACGGCGGGTTCCTCGAGTGTCAGACATTGATCGCCGTACCAGGTGCTCAACAGCGCCGGCTCGCCCTCTGCTCGAGGCTGCAGCGGCAACTGCAGACAGTCCCATACGTTGTCGGCCTCGGGCACCGGGGTCGCCAAGGCCGAGCCACGACCGCCCAGCGCCAGTGGGAGGAAGAGCGGCGCATCAGCGGGGGTTGTGCGTCCGTCGAGCACGCACTCCTCCGACCACGCACCACCTGCCAAACACGCCGTACGACACGCAGCCGCCGCCGCCGCTTCGTAACCCGTGTGCCCTACCCATGCACACCGTGCGGGGTCCAGCGGCACCGCACACGCCGCCGCCACGATCGACGCCACCGGCTCGCCCGTAGCGTACGCCGAATATGCCGTGTAGACTACAGGGATGCTATCCCCTCCGGTGGTGATCTCCCCGGAGGTGATTTCCCCCCCCGGGATGGTGGTCGTCGTCGTGTCCCCCCCAGTGTTGTCCCCCTCGATGGCCGGGCTCAGCCAGACGCAGCGTGCTGACCCGTCATCGCAAAGATCGCAGCCGTCGGTGCAAGCAGCCTCGCGGGCAACCATGTCGCAGACACCCTCCGGCAGAAAGAGCAGCGGCGTCTGAATCAACAAATCATGGTCCGCCTCACTCAGGCCGCGGCAGGCGCCGTCCCAAAGGGCATAGTACAGCTGCTGCGCCGCCGCCGCCCGCACACATGCCCAGGGCGAGTCGGCCTGCAGCGGCACCATAAGACTTGAACCTACGCCACCCACCACTACGTGTCCGAACAAGTCGTCGCGTCCGTCGTAGCGGCAGCCGGTCGGGCACGCGATACCCTGCACACACGCCTCGTGACACGCCACCAATTGGTCCACTGCATTGGTGGTCATAAGCATAGTGGCATTCATAGTGGATTTCATAACCGCAGTGGTCGAGTTTGACTTCCGATCTGGGCCCTTGTTCACGGCCAGGTACGAGTCCAGGGTGACCCAGTCGCAGTGTTGGGCGGGGTTAGTGGCGGTGCAGCCGGTGAGTAGGTAGCGCTCGAGCGTTTCGCGGTCGCGCGCGCCGCTGACGACGTCCTCGCTGCGCCAGACGCATCGGGGCGCGGGGTCATCGCACACTTGGCACTCCGCTGCGGCCGTGGCCACGCCCGAACCATCGAGAGAGCAGATGCTATCGTATTCTGTCCGGTCGCATTCGCCGTCCGCAAGAAAGACAAGAGGTGTAGCCAGCAGTTTGGCCACATTCGTTTCGCTAAGTCCCGAGCAGCTGCCGGTCTTGACATTCCACATGAAGATGGCTACGTCCTCGTCCATATTCAGGGTGTTGAAAATGCAATCCCAAGGAGTCTTTGCCTTGGAAAAAGCCTGCACCAGACTAGACTCTGTACCGCCAAAGACTAGCGGTAGGTAGACTGGCGAGTCCATCGTTGGTTCCGAACGTCCGTCTTGCACGCAGCCCGGAATCTCGCTCAAAAAAGTTGCGGCCGAGAGACAGGCCGCATGACAGATCTCCAACTCTGCCGGTCCCTCGAAGACCTGACCACTCCACGAACACAGCGCTTCATCTACAATTGAGCCGCAACCGAATCTTGTCCAGAAGGAGACGCCACCAGGTCCGCCACTGATAACACCCTCATCCAACCACATACAACGTCGAAAGTCACCGGCCAGGTTGCAGTAATAGTCGCACTCCGTGACTGACCCGACTTGAGACTGCGCATCAACGTTGGCGGTGGCGGGGACGACGGCGGCAGTGGCCGGGGCTTTGGTCTTGGTTGACGGCTCCTGTTGGAAGCCGAAGGCCTTGCATTCGGCGGGTGCAAAACAGAGCGGTTCGGGTACAAGCGTTAATGGGGTGTTTGTGTAATACTCGAAGTCCTCGGTCGCAAGGCCATAGCACGTTAGGTCGCGCGTATTCCAGAAGGCCATAGCGGTGGCGTTTGTGCGTGCAAAGTTAAGACAGTTCCAAGGGTCCGCGGCGTCGAGAGGTGCCAGTTTTTCGCTCGCCAACCCCCCAACGACGTAGTGCCGATATATCTGACGCCCCACGCCGTCAGTCACGCATCCCGCGACGGAGTAGGGCCACAGTCCGGCCACACACTCCTCGTGACACTGCGTCTCCGCCGTCGAATCAGCCTTACCTGTCAGTCCAACGAAGGCGCAATATGCCGGGTCGAACGGCTTTGCGCAATCACTCGGCAACTCTCTCGTCCAGAGTTCCTCGCCCAATCGTGAACCCGTGACCACCCGTTCATCGCGCCACGCACATCGTCGCACCCCATCACCGCACAAGTCGCACGTCGTCTGGTCTTGACTCCCGTCTTCTTGAATCTCACTTTGATCTAGTCTCGTGTCCGGGTCCCCGCAAACCTGGCGGTAGGTGTCGAGGTCGCACTCGCCGGGTGCGAGACGTTGCAGTGGCGTGGTGAGTAGGTAAGTGAGTGCGTCGCGACTTAGGCCGTAGCAATGGCCCGTGTCCGTGTCGTAAGTAAAGGTGGCCAGTGTGGCATCGGCATAGACTTCGCGCACACAGTCCCAAGGTTTTGTCGCCTCAAGACTTCGCGCTAACACAGACGCCGCGCCGCCGACCGCGACCGGACGGAAGACAGGTGCCGCGGGCTCGGGCTCTTGCCGCCCGTCACGGACACACGCGTCGGAGAAGGCGCCACCTGCATTCAAAACTGCACCTTGAACACAGCGCTCATGACAACCCGCGACCGCCCACCATGGCCCGCCGGCACTCGGAATTGCCACCCACTGACACAAATCGTATGGACCTGCCGCACATAACTGCTCGACCACCTCCCACACCGACCCTCCGATCGGGTCCGACCCTCCGATCGGGTCCGACCCGGTCGCCACGTCCCAGACGTAACCGCCAGATCCAGTGCCGGATCCAGTGCTGGACCCGGAACCGGAACCGCCGGGCGCAGTCCAGAAGCAGCGAGGGATACGATCGCCACAAAGGTTGCAGCCTGCAGGCAGAGAACCGTCCGCCCGTTCACAGGCCGTTCGATACATGTCCAGATCGCACTCGTGTGGCGCCAAGTAATTCAATGGCGTACGCAACAGGTACTCCAGGTTTCGGCGTCGCACGCCATAACAACCGTCCTCGAGCCACATGAATAGCACAAAGTCCGATTCGGCTGCTGTTGTAGCCTCACTGCTGGTTGTAGCCTCGCTGCCGGTTGTAGCCTCGCTGCCGGTTGTAGCCTCGCTGCCGGTTGTAGCCTCGCTGCCGGTTGTAGCCTCGCTCACTGCCACCGTGCTTGTACTGGTGCTGGTTTCGTTCCCGCTGCCGTTGAGGACGGTGTTGAGACAGGCCCAGGGGTCGGTGGCGTTGGGGAAGTGTGCGACGCGCGAACTACGTTTCCCGCCAACAATCTGGGGTGGGTAAAGTGGTCGGTGTTCAGGTGTGTGGCGGCCGTCTGCAAGACAGCGGTTGTCACCGAAGGCGTTGCCGGCGAGGCACTGATCGTGACAGGCGCGAAGGTCGCTGGGAGCGACTTGGCCGGTGGCGCCAACCCAGTCGCAGAAGCGTGGGTCAAAGAGCGTTTCACACCAAGGTGGGAAGTGCGACCAAAATGCCAGGCCCTCAAAATTACCAGTCCAGAACGCGGGGTCTCTCCAGATGCAACGCGCCACTTGGTCCTGCGCTCCGCATAGCACGTTGCAACCCTGCGGCCCACAAGCCGCCTCGTAACGCACCGTGTCGCACTCGCCCGATTCCAAGTGAAGTAATGGCGTCTCCACCAATCGCTGAACCGCGGCAAGCGAAATCGAATAACAAGCCGCACGCTGATCGTCCCACATCACCACCTCCGTCCCGTCCGACCCATTCAAGGACAGACACTCCCAGAACGTACGGCCATATCGACTCGCAACGTGCGCCGACCCTGGGCCACCAAACACAAACTGTCGATATACCGTCGTCTCTTCCATCCCCGCCGGACGCGGTACACGTGGAGGACGCACACTCCGTACCTGGCTTTCCACTGTCTTCGCCTGGTCGCCCGCCACCGCCTCCACGTCGGCCGTCGCGTCTGTCGTCGTGGACTCAGAGTCTGTGGACTCAGAGTCTGTGGACTCAGAGTCTGTGGACTCAGAGTCTGTGGTCGTAGTCGTAGACTCGGAATCCGAGGCCGCGGGTTCGAATCGGCCGTCCGCAACGCAGTTGTCGTTATCAAGCGGGAGGCCCTTGTCGCAGTTGTCGTGACAGGTACTGAGGTCCAGCCCATCCGGGGTTCCCGCAAGCACACCTATCCAGTAACACAACCCGGTCGTGTCCGCCGCGCAGTCAGCCGTCAACCGATCCCAGAACTGCAACCCGTCCAGCCCGCCCGAGACAACCGTCTCATCTATCCAGATACAGCGTGGCTTCCCATCGCCGCAGAAGTCGCAGTTGAGACCGAACTCGCCGCATGCCGCCTGAAAACGCGTGTCGTCGCACTCGCCCTCATCCAACGATCCATACGGCGTGCTGATCAACTTGTCGATCCCAGCCGCGTCGATTCCATAACACTCCCCCGAAGGGGACTCCCCGGAGGGGGACCCCCCCGCCTTGGGGTCCTGTGTGGTGGTTGCTGTATCCAGCCACATGAACATGTCGGCCGGAGCGGCGGCGGTGCGGTCGATGCAGGTCCACGGGTCTTGAGCGTCTGGGTAGGCGGTGACATAGCGGGAGTCCGGTCCCCCAACCAGGACGTTTCGGTACAGTGCAAGTGGTGGTGCAGGTTGTGTGCGTCCGTCGAAGATGCAGAGCGGTGCGTTGGTAAAGTCTGCACCCTTGAGACAGACGTCATGGCAGGCGGCAAGTGTAGGTTCATCGTGTGGATATTGATAGCCATTCCAGGTGCAGAGTATCGGGTCAATTGGAGTTTGGCAAGCGGTGGTGAGCAGTGCCTTAGCGTCATCGCCTGGGACACTTCCACTGACACTGCGTGGGTCTCGCCACCAACATCGTCGCACACCATCTGAGCAGGGACTGCAGCTCTCTGCTGTCGGACAAGCCGCGGCGAAGGCGGCTGGGTCGCACTCCCCCTCCTTCAAAGCGTGCACAGGTGTAGTCGCTAAATATACCAAGTCCTCTCGACTTAATCCATAGCAAGCCACCTCCCCACCATCCTCCCCAGGAGGCGTCGCCCAGAAGAAGAACACTTCACCCTCCACCACCTTCGAAATACATTGCCACGCATCCGCCACCTCAAACTGCTGAACCAGACTTGAACTCGGACCTCCCAACACATCTACGCCGTAGACCAATTGGTCCACACGGCCGTCGTACGAACATGATGTGTCACCCATCCTGTCTCCCGATGCACACTCCGCATGGCAATCTGTCAACGTCGCCGCCGTGCCCGGACTCATCACACCATTCCAAACGCAAGAGGCGGGATCGAACCCGCACTTGTCCGCAAACATCTCATTCGCTACGAGAAGAGAAGCATAGAAGTAAGCATAGGGGGAGGGGGAAGGGGG